GTTTATGCGCTCCGAAGATAAGTGAGTGGTAATAGTCTTCAATGGCTTTATTCGACAAACTTTTATCACATTTTTGTGTCCGAATTGCGATCAATCGCTTCAAGTCATACGGCGGCCGAACAAAGATCACGTATGGCCTGAACTCCGGGATGTATACCCTTTTGAGGCCTTGAGAGCTGAGATTCAATATGCATACGAACCCAGAATTGATGATTTGATGGACACACTCCTTATGAATGCCGTAATAATTGCCTTTGAATTGTCCGAATTCTATGAAATTTCCGCATTTTATCTCATTTTGAAACCAATCATCGCTTACGAAGTGATAATCGATGCCATCGTTTTCATTGAAACGCTTGAATCGACTCGTGTGAGCGATTGGTCGCCGGAAGTGATTCGGGCGCTCCTCTATTAGAAACCTGATGAGTGTCTTTCGGCCGACACCTACCGGACCTATGAATACGATTGGTCTGAAGTGATTGGGATGGGGATAGCATTTAGCCACCGGTTCATAGGTTGCTATCTGTTCCCTATCGAAGTGGACGCTATGGCACACATCATACATGACTTTCTTCACTTTACGTGCGCTCCAAACGGATTTGCGGAACGGACTCTTACAGCCGGGGATTATCTCAATGTAACGGTTTTTGTCAATTTGTGTCTTCAGATCTCGCATTACAGCCAAACGTCTTTCCTGCAGCTGTTGTCCGGGTATTAAACCGGCGAAAGTCATCCAACATTTCTCCGAGGGATCGGGCAGTTTGGACGCCTGCCACCAATTCGGGTCCTCTTTGTTCACCACATTTAAAATGTTACCCTTTTTGAAGGGCAAACCAATCTGACCGCAAGGGATATGCGGATCAACTGATGGCTNCATTTCTCCGAGGGATCGGGCAGTTTGGACGCCTGCCACCAATTCGGGTCCTCTTTGTTCACCACATTTAAAATGTTACCCTTTTTGAAGGGCAAACCAATCTGACCGCAAGGGATATGCGGATCAACTGATGGCTCGTAATCAAAGAGCGCCCGAACGTGAACAGCACTCTCAATGACCGTACGATCGGAATCGATATCTGAGGCCAGAAGTTTGAAACGAATGACCCCTTCCTTGCAGTTACGCTCAAGAAGTGTAATGACATCAATGGGTGAACGGCCGCGAACTGAGATGCCGTTCACCTCCAGTATCTGATCGCCAACATTAATGAGTCCACTCCTGTGAGCGGCCCCTCCGACCAGCACTCGCGCCAACACAACGGCACCGCTCTTCTCGTCCACCTTAACGGTGGCGCCGAGCGGTTCGTCATTCTTCACGACTCGCACTAATTTGAGCGGTTGTGTCGACGGGTAGTCTTCACCACCGGAATCGATGCCATCGTCTGCGTAGTCATGGGATGGAAGGGCAGGCGAGTAGTCATTTCTGGCCACACAGTCGGCCGCAAACAGGATTGCCCTCAAGTGTGGGTTTGCGATAATTTGACACAAGTCTTGACACTCGGAGATCCACTCGTCTTTCAACGCATTATATATTTGTGTCATTAAATTACTAGCATTTGAATCAAAGGGCTTGTATTGAGCGCTATGTCTATCAAACTTAGACATCTTCTCGTGAATACATATCAAAGACTGAATGCAATGTTTTCCCAACAAATTAAGCAAATGATTGGCTCCCGTATGACCCGTACGGCCGCCGCCGGCCGCTGACGATCGGCACTCACTTTCCAGACATACGAGTAATCTTTGAAAACCTATTGTTTGACACAATATTTGAAAACAATTAGCAAAATAGAGACCAAATAAACAGCAAATCAAATGAAATACCGTTTTCATTGATCAACATTTTCAGGCATTCAATGAATATTGCATTCAATTAACGAAAAACCAAACGAAACGCAAAACAACTCAAATAACACTCAAATAATTGATAACAAAAACTCATTTAATTAGAAAAACAATTAAAAACAAAATAATAAAATTGAAAAACACTTCAAAAACATATAATAATATGAAATAAATAATAAAATTGACAAAAATATGGCACAAAAATGGGTCACATTTTGGAGACAAGAAAAAAGTTATTAATAAATACTTTGAGAAAATTGTTTACATTATTATGACATTGATTTAGTGGTCATGTGTTGGCTCTGATGGCAATCACATCCCATTATCTCATAGTCTTTGGCCGTCGATGTGATCACCGATACGTAACTCACTGTTGGATCCAATCATCGCAATAATCATATCATTTAATGTCAAACAAGACTTTCAATCAAAACAAAAAGTGAATTAAAAATTACATGTTTTGTAAACATTATATTCACTCAAACATCATATTTTAATTTGAGTCAAACATTCGTAACAATCGTTACTAAATTATATGCCATTTAATGACCCCTTTATTTGTGTTTTGCGTGTGTTTTATACGCAATAGTCTTCACAGTTGTGTTCATTCATATGATTTTTACCCCATTTTTGCGTAACGTTTGTCAAACAAATGCAATAATAAGGGATCGTTTGCTAATTGAAAATAGTATTAAATCTAATTGTTTTTAAATAATTGAAAGAATTGATTGAAATATAAGCGAAACACGAATAGAGACACAGAAGTGATAATGAAGTGATATGGAAGTGATGGAAGCGTTTGGTGACCACAATGAGAGAGTGTGTGACAGTATGGATGGTGTGATTGTGTGGTGATTGTGGAGCTGATGGTGTGGTCCCTATGGTATGGTTGAGGGGAGAGTCGATTGATTGGACGAGTGTTGGGTTGAGTGCAATGTTAAGGCAATGGCTGTGAATGTATGCAAACACTGACTGTATGTCTGTATTGAGTGTTTTGTATAGGAATTGAATGTTTGAAAATGACATCAAATTAAATGATTGTAATCACAGTTAATGTCATTAATGGTAATGCAATCGAGAAAATGCTTTCGATTAACCGATGGGTAAATGTATTGTCCATTGAATTGTTGCCATAGAGTGGAAGCGTTGGAAGTGATTGAATGTGAAGTCTTGTCGTAAACCAGTCGTCATTTTGTGCTCAAATATATGGTTCACAATAGAGACGCCATTACTCTCACAATCAGTGACTGACAAATGTTGGGACAAAAGTCCACAAAAAGGGCTAAAACCAGACATTTCTCACCATTTCTTCCAATCCTTTCATTTCAATGATTCAATTGAATGTCATTTTCATTGATTTATGCCTTAATTATTGATGTATTTCTATATAAACAGGTATTTCGATAAGAAGTCGTCTTCCCATCACTTAGAGGTATAGCCATCACCACTGAAGCCAATCAATGCCCAACCAGTGGATCCATTAGTCTTCACTTTGGTTGGCATTGCATTGAGTGCTGTGCAAACATTGGGATCCATTCAATGAATCCATTGATTGTTCAATTTTAATGAAATAATTGATTGAATGAATGGCTAATTGTTTACATTCATTGTCTCAATAAATCTCTTTAGGACTCAATGAGTAAATATTCAACGAAAAGTATAAATAATTTTCCCAACTCTTTGAACGACTCATCGCATGGAAAGCATCGGAGGAATAACTTATCGCCAATGAATGGCAGCAATAGTCGGTCGCGAAGTGTTTCGCCCGACAATTGGAGTCCCAATCGAAGCGTTTACGCGAATAAATCTTCGTATTCTTCGCGGACTAAAGACAGGGACAGAGTTCGCGATCGCGAGAGAGACAAGTATTACGAGAATAAGAAAAAGTCACTCAACTGTCGCTTGACTTCGCGGTCGCGATCACCGATCGAGTCCACGAAGAGTTACAAACAGAACTCCGTTAACAATCACTCGAGTCATGACTTGACTTCAGAGACCAAAAGCAGTTCCAATCGTCGGAACGCATGGAGTGAACAGACGAGTTCTTCGGGACGGATCTACTATTATAATCACAGGACAGAGAAGTCTCAGTGGGAGATACCCAAGGAATTGAAGAAATATTCATCCAACAAGTCATCGGCGGACAGCCATTCATATCGTGATAACAGGAATGACAATAAGAGTTGTGTCACCTCTTCGTCGAACTCGAAACCCTATTCGTCACACGAATTGTCTTCTGGTTATAGAGAGAAGGATAGCTCGAGAACTAAGTTGAGTGGCGGCGGAACCACTACTGGAAGCACTAGTAGTAACTCTAATAGTAGTATTAGATCTCATTCTAAAAGAGACGACGAGTTGAGGCCATCGGCCGACGACCGGTTGGCCAACGACTCGAAGCGAGTGCCACAACAGACGGACACTAGAAATAGTGGTATTAATTGTGTAAAACGTGAATCACTTAAGTCTCCAAATGTCTCCTCAATTGAATCTTCAAATACTGTTTCCATTAATAATATGAATAATAATATTAAAAACAATTCTAATAATAATAATAACGCAAATGATGTGAACTCTAGGACTCATGGCATCAGTAGTACTAACCATAACTATAACAATAACAGTTCGGTTTGTGCTCAACAGCTGTTGAATCAGATACTGTCTCAACCATTATCTCCGACACAAACGCAGGATCTAAAGAAGCTGTTGATGTCATCGCAAGGATTCCCTGATATGCCACTCAATTTCCCCGAAGAGGCCTTAAGAGCACTGCAACAGGCCTTACAGCTGACCGTAAAGGCGACGGACGCCAAGAGTCAAAGCAGTCAACTGTCGCGACATCGGCCGGCGTTGAGCTCTCCCCGCAGTGGCGTCGGTGCCTGCAGTGAGTCGCCCGTCTCGACGTCCGGCCACACCGGCCATCATCACCGACACAGGCATCACATCCCTCACCACAATCAACATCACTCTCATTACAATCAAACACAACATCAGAGCGCAGACGGAATTCGCCAGGAATTAGATCTTATGTTAAGTCGGGCTAACATTAATAAGTCACCCAATTCTGAGAAGAGTGTCATCTCTTCCACCAGACACGACAGTCCGCCAAACAGTGTCACCAATATTTCGTCGGCAATCAGTTCCGCGTCTCTGAAGCCATCAGTGCCTTCAGTTCCCACTCTTACGCCTACTTTAGCCAACTTTTACAAAGAAGAGTTAGTGAGTCACGTGACCGGTTGGCAGGCGGAGCACGCGGAGAAGCAGGTCTGTACTCAATCTATGCATCCATGCAATCCAACCATTCATTACAACTCATTACAAACCATCACTTTATTTACTAAATTAATAAATGATACCTCTTTTCAGGCGAAGCAATATTCGCAACAATCGCATGAATTTGGTTCACATCAGTGCACCCGAGTGTCGGCCGAACTCAAAATGGCCCGATCTCTGGTCAGACTCACCGAAATTCAATCCACTCTTCAGGAACAGAGGTTTGTTGACACTTGAATGTTGTGATGGCTGTGAAGCTGTGATGTATGCAATATATACTAAGTGTTTGTATGCCTTGATTTGTTGGACAGAATAATCTTCGCAACGCAACAGATCAAGAATGTGGAGGAATGGAAGGGACAGAACGCCAACCATTCTTCATATCACTCCTAGTATTGGTATTTGTGTTATACTCTTCTCGATTAGTGGTTAAGACTATTTGCGAACAAATAAATTATATATAAAATGTAAAAATTGTTTTCAACTCTTTCTTTAATTTAAAAAAAGCTGAGTTTATGTTTACATTGAAAACAAGTGTTCAAAAACTGAAATTCTTTTTTAAAATATGAGCAAAAATTATTGTAAATTAAATTCTAATTATAAATAATTAGCATTTTTTATCGAAACGAAAACCAATTGACACGTTTTTGTTTGTTTTTTTAATTTGTAATTAAATTTGTTATTTTGAATTTGAAACGAATCGCTAATTTAATTGAATGTAAAATCCATTTCGCATATAATATACACCAAAATACACCGAAACACTCCATAACGGGTCTCATTCGCGGGATAAGGAGTTTTACTTATAATTTATTTCCCGATTAACAAACAAAAGAGTTTACATTTTATTTGAGAGTTAATTTAAATGTCATTTATTTCAATAGAAATCTATTTGTTAATTAACTTATAAATTGGAAAAAGTGTTTTTCAATTGTCATTTGTATAAAAATTTCATTACTTTTAAAATAAAATGACTATAAAATTAAGTATTTAAATAAATACATGTAGTATTTAGTTAATAGTTTGATTAGCATTAAGTATAATAAAGCATAAACATTATGACACTTGCACTCAGAGAATGCACTGAAAAGGGTTTTCCTTCATGTGATGCAATGTGTGTTCAAAAGGTGTTTTGGTTTGAATTACATTCACATTACATCCCCTTCTTTCAAACTTATCTCATATTTTGTTTAATAGTATTTTTGTGTAAATTATGACCGAATCCACAGTATGTTTGAAATGAAGGTATAGTTAGCCGACTGTTACTAATTGTTTAGAAATTCCTGACGTTTGGGAAATACCTGTGCTTTCCGTCCGATCGATATCTTTAGTGTTTGCAATGAAACCCATAATACATACAAATGTATTACACAATCATATAGAGGACAGTGAATGACAATATCATTAAATTGATATCTATATGTATGATAAGAATTA